TTTTTACTACATTAGGATTTCTGTTACTGAGCCCTGTGCTCCTCAAACAAACTATGTATTAGCCTGCTTAAATTTCATCTGTATTATTGTTTGGCTGGCGTTAAATAGTTTTGTATTGGGTGCACCCATTTATATCTTCTTTTTTTTGCATATTTTACGCAGACTACCGTATTCACAAGCATTTTTCTAATTTGTTATATAATCTTCCTATCTGCCTTATCCTGCCTTTTTGTCAGTATTGTATTGTATACTTTTCAACTATTATGTTTAGATTCTAGTCGTAACATACCACATGCTTTTATTTTTATTAGTGACTCTTTATTAGAGTGCTTCCAGTTTTTGCATGAAAGTAATTCACGTTACTGACATGCGTAGGTATATTTTTCCAGCTGTGTTACATCAAGTTTTACATCTCATCTGGTATGTATTTTGTTATACTTGATCATGTTGGGGTTAGTCTTAATTTTTGCTCTTCAATTGTGCATTTACCTTAGCTTTTGATAAGTACTACATTTGCCATTCAAGTGGCATTGTGGTTAATCCATGTTTGGGGATGGGGGCTCCTAACTACAGTGTTATCCCTGCCTGTGATAATGTGTAATTGAATGCAGGATGTTCTGTGTTCTTATCCTTTTAGCATTTTTTTTTCTAATGCTGAAGTGTAAATTCCCAAAGACTTAAGCAGGACAATATTCAATTGTGCCACAATCTTAAATAATTCTGCTTTCCATATACTGCAGATCGCACTCCTTAGAAAATTGTAATTATCTGGAATGATATTCCACTACAATGTAGAGAACCAGCACTTAGTCCTTCAATACTCATGTATCATCATAATATACCTTGCCCACGAAGGCTAACACAAAGCTTTCACTATTAGGCTAGACTAGATAAATCACAGTATTTGAATAGATGAATGGCACATGCTATCTGCCAAATGGACAAGTTTTCATCAGAGATTATTATGCCATAAGTTAAATTTAAGCTCTAATGGTGATATTATTTGGTTTCTTTGCCTCTCATTCCATTTATAATTTTTAAAAAAATCTTTGTGCCTTGATCTCCTAATTATTATTTGAGTGCCAAAAAATATTATGCTGTGATGTTTATAACCCATGTTGTTTATGAAAGATATGTAATCGTTTTTCATTAAAAAGTTTATCTACTCATCTTTCTTCGATTGCTTGTCAAATTTACCCTGGTTTCTACCTAGCCGGTAGATTGGCTGCTGTGGCGGCTACTGCAGCTGCTGCTTCTGCCACTTGGCCCGCTCCCGCAGGCGCTGCTGCTGCTGCTGCTCGGTGCGTGCGCGCGGCCGCGACTCTGACTTTGCCGACGACGCGGCCTCCGCCTTCTGGGTGCGGACGTCGGTGGGCCTGCCCTGCCCGAAGACGAGTCCGTGGCGTCGTTGGTCGTTTCCTCGGCGGCGTGCCCGCCCCTGCGGCCGTGGCCTCCACCCGGCACCGCCGGCCCCTCGCCGCCCGCGCCCCGCACGGCCCTTGTGCTGGTGCTGGCTCTACCCATGGCCCGGCGCAGGTCCCGCGCCGTCTGCTGCTGGATCTTGCACCGCCGCTCCCAGACCACCACGTCGCGACGGAGCAGGTCCAGGTCCTGCTTGAGGCGCACGTACACCAGCACGTCCGGCGCCTGCGTGCACACCGAGAGTCTCCTTAGCGTCGTCATCATGCCTCGTCACTCAGCGAGTGTCTGGGGACGTGTGAGGACGGACGCAACTGTTTGCTCAAAGCTGTGCCCCAAAAGAGCACAGAGCACTCGCCACGCCGCCGCACTGCGTCGCCACCCACACGACCGTCGCGCCGCCGCCCACAAGCGGGACCGAAGGGTGAATAGAGTTTGCTCACCGTGTGCCTCTCCATCCGCATGCGCACCGCATTCAGCGCCGTGTCAGCTCTGCCCACATCCTCCAGCACCTGGAGTAGGCAGAGATAGGACGACGAAAGTCGCATCAATTAGGCTAGGGGAACGCAACTGGTACAATTGAAATTCAATGTTATTTCGGACTCACCTTCTGCTCCTCAAGCTCCAGGGCCGCTTTCTGGTTCCGTTTGGCGGCGGTCTCCTTTCGGATGGCCTCGAGGTGCTTGCTGAGGTCCGACAAGCGCTTCTTGCCGGCGAGGAGTCTGGACGTGGCGCTGCCTGGGCACGGGAAGCAAGGCTGGGCGTGAGCTCTGAATGGACTTCCCTGCAGCGCGCTACCCGCGCTGCAAACTCACCGGAGATGCCCTTGAGGTCGTTCAGGTGCTGGCTGTTGCTCTCGATCTTCCGGTTCAGCTCCTCGATCTCGATGCGAATCTTGTCGAAGTCGACGGGCCGCAGCGCGTCGCCCAGCTCCCGCTTGACGGCGATGTTCTCCCGGACGCGCCGGTGGTGCGCGCGCAGCGAGCTCACCTTGAGCCGTATCCTGTCGATGGTGGCGTCGGCCTGCTTCACCCAGTCCGTCATGTATCTGCGGCAGGGGAGCTCGGGTAAGGCGCACCACCCTGGAGACCCAGGACCCAGCCCCCGCCTCGGCCGGCACTCACCTGTTGAGCTTCTCCCCGGACGTTCTGCCGCTGACGTGCGCGTCGCCCTGGGCCTTGTCCGTGACGCCCGTGTCGAGCGAGTGGTAGGCGGCGAGCGTCTCCCCGAGCCGGACCTGGGCCTCCTCGGCGCGCGCGCGCAGGTCCGCGGCCTGGGCCTCGGCGCGGGAGACGAGCTGCTGCGTCCGCTGCGTCGTCAGGTGGGTGGCTTCCTCCGCGAGGTCCATGCGCTGGCTGAAGCTCATCCTGCAGGAGCGAGCGCATCGAGTGACATCACCACTACGCGTCCAGGCCCGCCCCAGTGACAAACTACCGACTTCGACGCCGTGTCGACTTTCTCACCGGAATCAACAACATATGTTGATATTCGAAGGCTATTCTACACTGAATATCGCTAACTGGCTGTGCGAGCTGACGCTCACCTGGGCACCCTGTCCAGAGACCCCGTCTTGCTGCTCTTGGCCTTGGCGGCCGAGGCCCGGGCCGAGGCTTTGGCGGCGGCCTTCGCGCGGATGGCCGACAGGCGGGCGGTGCTGCTGAGCGTGTCCGAGACCGCGGACAACGTTATCCTGGAGCGGGCCCGCGGGGGCTCGTCGGAGCGGCTGAGGGACCGCGACGGTGGTGGGCTTGGCGTCGGGGAGCCGGACTCGCCGTCCTCCTCGTGCAAGCTCTCCATCTTGTGCACGCTCTCCAGCTTGACGCTCTCCTGCTTGTGCAAGCTCTCCAACTTGTGCTCGCTCTCAGGCTCGACCCCACCCGTTTCCTGTTCGGCTTTGGGCGAGGCCTGCTGAGCGATTGCCTCCTCTTTCTTCTCGAGCTCGATAATCTCTGATAAGCCTGCAAAACCCAACTCCCCCCAAAATAACACGTTATTACCGAAAGACGAGGTCTGCATTTATTTGAACTAAAATGAAAGTTTTTGTCCTACGCTGCCTCTTTCCTACCTGCAAGCAGGTCGGGGGTATCCATGTACAGCTTATCGTGGAAGATCTCGTTCTCCAGGCGCAGCATGAGGTTGGCCTTCACGAGCAGCGTCACCGCCTCCTCCAGCTCCTCATAAGACAGCGCTATGCAGACGGTGACGACTGTGTCAGGGTGTGCCTTCCAGGTGGGTGATTCGTCGCGTTCACTTTCGTAGTTATGTTGTACCACCCGCCCCGCACGCGCGCGGTGTCCGTACGTTACTTGTCGACTCTGACCAGGGCGCCTTACGGATCGTCCAGAAAGTGCGTCCACTTTTCTTAGATTCGTTAGACAAATCACAGGAGCTCGGCGCCTGCGAAAATCAGGGTAGGCATCCCAGCAGTGCACGCGTGCACTGAATGCAAGATGTTGCCTACCGATCAGGCGCTATGGGAGCTGGCATTGGCTGGAATGGTCAGTTTCGTAACGGCAGACGTGGTGTGGATGCTCCATAACGGCCCGAGAAAATACGCAACCCACACGCACGCGTGCACGGGGTACGTGCGTTAAAGTCAAACTACGGAAGTGGCACCGGGGCGAATCAACAGCCACCTGGCTCGGATTGCGGCGGAGCCTGCAGCGCGATTAGAGAGGTCGCTCCCTCGCTCGCTCCCCGACACGCGCGCCGCCTCCTTATTTCACAGTATGGGGGCTTTACTTTTCTCCTAAACACGCAATTCAGTTAAGATTTTCATTATTTCTTCACGCTTTAAAGTTTTGTTCATTTTCAACAATCCCAAACACTCGCGCGAGTGAGCTCTCTAATCGCGCTAATCTGCTGCGAGGTGGGTGGAGTTCGTTCATCTACCTTCGGGGACGACGTCGATGAAGGCATCAGCCGAAGAGACTGTCTTGGAGAAGGACAGCTCCCTGGACAAGGTGGACGGGGTCGGCTCCGAGTACGAGCCCGTCCTGACGTCCAGCGTCCGCGCAGACGCCGATCTTTGCGCGGACGCCGACCGTCGAGCGGCCACGGCTGCCATCGCGCGCGGCGTCGTCGGCTAGGGAGACGACTTCATCTCGGCGCAGGGCGACCGTGTGGCCGGCGGAAACGGAAGCAGGTCCCGCCCACGAATCCGATTGTCGGCCGGGCCTCGCTGGCCTCGCCGGCCTCGCCAGGGTGGCCCGGCACGGACTCGCTCCCTCCGACGCGGGCCCCCGTTCCCATCGCTGGCTTCCGACACACTCTGACATCTCGTGCGCCGCCCCCCACTGGGCGACGGGGGCGTGTCAACCCCTATGAACGGCAGGCGGAGAGGAAGGGGGATGTGACGGGGCGAGGGGTTGGGGAGAAAGAGAGGGAGTAACAGGGAACGCTGTGTACCGATTTAAGGGTCGTTTACCCCCACTCTTTCGTCGCGGTGGAGGGAGAGTGTATTTCGGACGAGGACGCGACGCTCCGCTCCAGTGCGGAAATGTCCCCGAGCCGCAAGCACAGGGGTGCAGGTTGGCGTGTCGTGGGGACGTCATCGCGGGCGGCGCGGGGCCGTGCTCCGCCTGATGGATCGTGCCCGCTTTGCCCGCCTTGTCCCGCGGCCCCCTCGTCTCTTGGCTGCCGCTTAGCAGAAAGCTCGCCCCCACCACTGTTGCTCTTATCGACGTGCTGAGCATTATTTGAAAGTTATATTGTTGAAGCTTGCCCCCTCCCCTCCCTCCCTCACCTCCGACAGAGCCTGCTCTCCGTATGTTCCATTCGTTCGATTCCCGCTGCCACCTTCACGCCTCCTCGGGTCTCCGGTTCCCGCATTGCATTGACGTGCCATACGCCACACAAATGGCTCTGTACCCTACACACACAGCTCCACTCGTTCTCCGGGTACACCCCGCACCCCCCCTCCTCCACCGCCCGCCCACGCAACCCTTTCCTCCCCCGCGATAGTACAGACGAGCAGCTCCGCGATGCTCGCTCCCCTCGCCAGACAGGCGATGGGGCAGGGTGGCGGAAACAAGGTTGAGTCGCCGTAGCAACAAGGTTTGCGCCCCCACGGCCCCCCGGCCCGGGCCCCCTCGGGGTCGGACACGGACACGGCAGGCAGTGGCCCCCGCAGGAGCACGCCGGCGGCCAGGCCACGCTGACGTACCAGCGCCACCATGGGGGTCTACAGGTAGGCGCCGAGCGGGTAGGCACGCCCGCGCCGCACGCCCGCGCTGCGGTACAGCACAACCGGCATGGGGTTCGGGGTGCGGTACCTCGCCGTGACCATCGTGTGTCTGCTCGAGTAGGTTGCCGATTGAGCCGCCACCCCAGCCGCCGCCCAAGACCTACGCGCCGTGCGGCTTCGGCGGCGACTACAACTGGCTGTGCCACAAGCCGCTGCCCAGCATCGACGCCTACAAGACGTCCTCCGGGGTGGGACTCTACCAGATACAACCCGTCAGCGAGAGATACGATGTGAGGCAGACTTGCAGCAGAAGGGTCTTTTGGTTACCTCACTAGGGGTATACGGGCGTTGTTTGTACACTTTACACGATGTCCTTTAGCGCGTTCGCCGACCCCTGCCATGCCACCTCGCTACCCGCGACCCCGCCGTGGCGTGGGACCAGCACCTCACCACCACCGCGCTGGCGCACGACCGCAAGGAGCCGACCAAGGACCCTGCCACGTTCGCTGGCAACTACGTGAGCGCCGGCCGCATGACGCTCGCCCGCAAGTTCGACGAGCACGTGAGTACTTATTGCCCGTCCCGTCCATACCGGTAGACAGCAGCAGGCACTGTCGGCCTGTCGGCTCTACAGCCCCATAAGGAAGGCAAATTTGAGCTACAAAACCTCGGTATAAAGGCAACTTGCCCTACGCCGCGCCCCCTCTCTGTGGACTCTTACTGCGCCTTCTCGAGAGCAGACGAATGAGATGGGTTTTGAATTAATGCACTTGTGTCGTTACAAGCGGTCATAACATCCCAAAATTTTCAAGTAAAAGACGATAGCTTTTAGAGCTTTTTAAAAAGAGGTTTTTCCGATCCACCCATGCACAGATAAAACACCGTCCGCACAACAGCAACGTGGACACGTGCCCGGCGGCGTCCGTCACCAACTCGACGTACCTGCGCCACGACGTGATCCCGTCCTGGGGGAAAGTCGTGGACCTTACGCCACACGTCGAGTGCCAGGTCGGTCCTTCCCCCACAGCCCTCCTCTGTTCGTCTTATGTCTCCCTCCGGGACTTCCACGACGACGAGTGATTGCTGCCGCAGGTGCGCTCTGACGGGCTCCAAGTGCAGCCCTTCGTACCGCCGGAGGACGGCGGCCACGTCCGTCTGCTCGACCCGATGGTGTCCACCACGGCGATGGACTTCCACCCGCACACGGAGCGCCAGCAGAGCGACCAGGTAGGAATCACCCAGAAAAGTACGTCCGCGTCCGTCATTCGCCGCGCAACGAAACCGCCAGGTCCAGTCTCAGCAAGCTCTCGTGGCGCCTGATAGGTAGGCTACATCTTCTATGCGGTGCATGCGTGTACTGCGGGGTGGCCTACCCTGAGTCTCGCAGGCGGCGAGCTTGAGTCACTTACTTGCCGAATTAAACTACGAAAGAAGGACGTACTCTCTGGACCCCCGACTCGCAAGAGAGACACTGACGAGTGACTTATTGTGCTTGTGTGCGCGTCCCGCAGGTCGGCAAGAAGAACATCATCACGTACTGGGACGGCGAGGGCTACCCGCGCGCGCGCACCTGGGGCTACGGGCCGCAGGGCTCGGAGAGGATCACCTCGCTGCTGTCCACGCGCTCGGACCCGGACCCCGTATACGACAAGGAGCAGTTTGCGCACCGCGCCGTTTACCGCCGCCTGCCCACCAGGGTACCGGCCGTCCCGCACAAGTGAGCCTCTCTGGTCTGCGACACCAAAGCGACCCTCTGCGAACGACAGAAACAAAACGGTGGTGCTCTGGTTGTCCTCCCGCAGGGGCCTGCAGAGCGAGCAGCAGGCCGCGTACCGCCTGCCGCTGGACGACTTCGTGTCGCACCGCTGGGGCACGGGCGGCGTCGAGTACCCGCTCGCCCTGTACGCCAACACGCTGTCCGAGCTGCTCGCCGCGCCCGCCATGTACTGCCCGGAGAGCGCGCACTACGGCTCGGGGCTGCCCGTCAAGGCCCTCGTGGACACGGGCCCCGCCTACCACGGCGGCCCGCCCGTGCACCGCCCCTGCCCGCCGACGCTCTGCACCGCCTTCAGGCGCCCGTACGCCAAATAAACGAAAACATCCCCGACTGCGTTTTGTTCCGGACTGTACTGTACCCCCCTCCCCGGTCGCATTGCGTAGCGCTGGTCGATCCATTTGATGGGTGGGTTGCCTAAATACCAGGTGGCTGACCCAACGCCGCGGCGCACTTTTGTAGTTGTGCTACTGTACCGCATGCACGGGTGCGGGCAGGTTTGCCTATCCCTATGTCAACGGCTCCTTATGGTCCCGAGCAAGTAGGAAACCCCCCACACGCCCACATGCGGTACAATATATCTACGAAAGTGCGCGGCGTGAATCAGCCACAGCCACAACCACCTGCTGGTACACAGGAGGCGCAACTTGCCTACCTTCAGTTGGTCTCACCTCTCGGAGAATCCCCTCTCCATCCCCCGTAAACCTACCACACAAGGAAACATAAATATTGTGACAAACAGCGGACACAGATGATCTCACTGGATTGGGCCCGTGAAACATGTGTACCGCACCCAAAGAGCCCGACCATAGGAGGCAGAACCTCGACGCGGTCCAAGGGTCGGTCGGGTCGAGGTGCCTTTGCCTAGCCCATAACCGATAATACCAAATCCGCCGCGCCGGGCCTCGAGGCGAGGCGAAGCGCTACTTACGCCAACCGCGCTTTTAGCGTCTGCCGGGGTACTTCCTGGAGCTTGGAAGTGTGTCTGAGATGAGAAGACCGGCCAGTCCCAAAGCCTTATTCTTCCCACTGCCGCCTTCCCTTCCCTCCCCACTCCCCTCCCCCCGCGTGCAACGCTAACTCCTCGACCTTGAGTGGACTTGTTCTCTAGAAGCAGTATGTCACTTCACCGTGCGGACCTGTTCGGAACAAAAATCCTTTGGGAGGAAGACGGGTTTGTATGCGTGAGTACAGCGCGCTGACGGGGAGCGGGGGGAGGGGGAAGTCCCACTCTGTCACGCATCAGTGCGCGGTCACTGTGTGGTGTACGCACTGATCGCCGGAAACGGTCATAAAACTACGGATATCACAACAATCGTCGCTTCAAATGGTGCCAGTGCACTGCAGAAGAGTGCTGCTCGTCAGAAGAAAAAAATTCCAACGATAACGAATCTTATACACTCGCTGCGCAGAAGCTAACGAAAGCAGACAGCGAAGAGAACCGCGCAGCGCTTTTCCGTCACGATTCGCCCCCGCCCACTAAACTACAACTCACCCCCGACACGCCACGCCGGTACTCTTCCGATGCACGGTGCGTTGTCACCCTGGCCCGGTTGCAGATAACGCTGACACCCCCCACCCCACCCCCTCCTCTGCCGAACGGGAACCCACACGCGCTGCTGCATTATTTTTATTAATGAGAGATAAAAAGTAATTATGCTTATCCAAAAACATATTGCCGGGGAGCCTCATCCGATACAAACAAGTGTTTACTCATGTGCGCCGCGGTGAGAGCGGCCTAATCAGATCAAGGGCCGTGAGAAAAGTGAGCCGGTTATTTCGGCTTCGGCAGGGAGCGTGAGTAGTATGCCAACGTGATGGTCATGCCGGACATCTCCCGTCTGCAGCCTCTGCCGCTGGCTGGAGGCGCTCTGAGTGCGTTTGTGAGGATGAGTACCACGCCCCCTCCCTCTCTCGGTAGCCCCTTCTCCCCACCCCCCTTCTCCCCTCCTCCCTCGGCCGGCTCCCCCTTTTTTCATTCAAATAATTGTGCGCACTGGCCTGGCCACGCCAGCCCACGTTCAGTCCGGCGCGGGAGTGTGACTTTTTTTTGGTGCTCAGTCTGGACGGAGTCACGTCGCTGGGAAGTTACAGAAGAAGCGGCGCGGAAAGTTTGTGAGGGGCTGTTGCAGCCAAGGCCTACCGAGGGGTGCGGACCCTCGGCTGAGGCATTCCTAGGAGGGTTGCGGACTTGCGGACTCTGTGGGGTAGGGGTCCCACCCTCGGGCTCTTTCTCCTTTTGTTTAGGAATTCTTGTCATAAGGTGAGTCCATAGACAGATGCAATGCACTCCATTTCATGAGCGTATTACGGACGCGTGCGGAAATGCAGTGTCGAGTGTCGAAGAGGTATAGTTTTGAGTTTGTCTCATCTTATTCTCAGATGTCTGTATGGGCCTTCCCCGCGGTGCCCGTGTTGGGACTGCTGCTGCTCGCAGCGAGTGCCGGCAGAGGACAGCCGGTAGTGGGAATGCAACGAGAAGTTCGATTGCTGGGTAAGCTTAGCGCCATAACTTCCGTTACATCCAAGGTGCAGTAGTTAATATACATATGTATGCCTTTGAATCTTTTAACACATAGCAGAGTATTCTCATGACCTGGCCGCGTGGATGCGACCGCTTCGTAAGGCACCAGTACACAAGTTTGGTCTTCCCTCTACGTGTCTTATCTCTTTTGCAGGTCGAGCAGAGAGCTGCAGGGGCGTATCGATCTCCGCCCAGGCCGTCTGCGCCTCGGGCCTTGTGTGCAACCCGAGCACGGGGACCTGCGTGCCAGTGCCTGGTAGGGGGTCTACCCAAATGACGTCTTTTTAGATTTGGGCGGAGGGGCGAGATACCCTTTTCGCGGTGCTCTAGCTAGTACTTGAGTTTCGCGGTTTTGCAGCAGAACGTTATCGGTAGCTAAGCGCGCTCTAAAATGATGACGTTATCGCACCAGGGAAAATGTTAGCCACATCAGGGAATAGGCTACGAGTACTACTTATTTATTATAAAACACTCCTGTTCACTACTTGTAGTTCAAGTACAAAGCCATCCCCAAAAATGACGAGCCTTGGGAAGGAGCAGTGTTGCCAGATTCGAAGAGGGCAGTTGCGGACCGCCGGAGCTCAAAATGCGGATTTGGCGATTCAAATGCGGAACAAAGGCGTTTTGTTCGAAATTATATAAGGAGTAGAGAACAAAAAATGCGGATTTTGGCCAAAAATCAAATGCAAAATTGCGGTACAAAATGTGGAAATGGGGGACATCTGGTAACACTGGGAAGGAGGCAGACCGTGCCTATCACTTCGGCCCCGGCGAGCAAGCTGCGCGCGGTGCGAGCCGGCGGGCGGAGCGGAACCTGACTGTGACTTCCCTTCCCCTCCACCCGCCAGTCCATCCCCACCCCCATCCTTCCTCCCGGCCCGCCCGCGGTTCCCCCACCACCCATTCCCCCACCACTGTTGCACACGACCAGTGGTTCAAGTGCGCTTGTTGCCGCGACCTTCAACATGGCCTGTTGGTCTAGGGGTATGATTCTCGCTTCGGGTGCGAGAGGTCCCGGGTTCAAATCCCGGACAGGCCCAGATGTCTCAATGAGACTGACTTTTTTCCATTGTTTGCGAACTTATAAATAGTATGTTGGATTTTCCTAAAATCTCTTCAAAGCAATTACAAGGTTTTTTTTATTTCAATTTTGCAGCCTCATATCAGCTGTTGAAATTTAAATGGGAAAATAGAGCTGTCAACAAGGATGCCATTGAATCTGACAGTATTTTGTACAACAAATGGAGGCCAAGTAGACCAATTCAAGCTGTCAAAAACTTGGACATTACAGCATGGTCACTAAATAAAATACCTCCTAAATAGGAACATTTTCGGTAATTGAGTTTTCATACTTTTGTTGGAACTATACTAAATTTTGTTGGTTGTATACAAACTGAGTTAACACTAAACTGAAATATTTGAGATATATTTATTTGTTACTATCTATTTCAGGATATAAAGGAAAACAAATGATGTGGCAAACAGAACACAACTATGGAATAATTTGTGCCACAAAGAATGACTTCATGAAACATACATAAAACAGAACAATAAAAGTTTCTTTTCAGCATCCATTGGAGAGCTTTAACATGTCATGATGAATTAAAAATAAGATAACACTGAATAAACAATGCAATCTAACTAATTAGAATTATTAAAAAGACAAACACAAATAATAGAACAGAAAATAAATCAACTTATTTAAAGTAAGTTCATAATCTCTTTTTCACTGTCAAGTCATAGCCCCAAACGCATTAAATGTGCTTCAATGCGCGTAGAAATGCATAGAAAAGTTGACACATTGGTGACGCTTTTAAAACGCTTTTCAGGATTTGATGCGGATTTTACACATAATGCATCAACAATGTGTCACCTTTAATGTGCATTTCTATGTGCATTGAAGTGCATTGAATGCAGTGGCGCTCCTGAGGTACATAAATTATAAATATCACAAAGGAATAAAGATAATGAACAGATTTTTAACATTCAAAAGAAAAATTTAAAAAACACTTTGACAAAGGTTATATAGCTTTTGATTGTAAGATGTGATTATATTAATCTAAAGATAGCATTGGTCGAAAATCTGGAAGAAGTTGCTGAACCTTGTTTCTCCAAACCATTTTTCGACGCTCTTTTTCTCTCTCCAACTGAGCCACTTTTGGATATTTCCTCCATTGAAGTAAACACTTTCGTAATAAAACACTAGCCAAAAGGAAAAAAAAAAGAAAACAAGTAGGTAAATCCACATCTACATAAACAAATATACAGCATAATTTAGAGAAAAACAGGTACCTGTGAAAATGGGAATTCGCTTTGGCTGTTTTTTCAGCATCAACTTCCTGTTGATTATGAGTAATCTTTAGCCACAAATTAAAATAGTGCTCTTGAAGACGAAAGTCATGCATGTCTACAGCTACTTGCATATACCTAGTTGACTCTTGCATCTCCTATAAACGCAAAACCAGTTAGATTTTTCATGCAATATATGTCACTTACAAGGATGCTTATTATAGTTACCAATTTGAGAGCATTGAAGCAGCGTTGCAGTAAATTCACAGAGAAGAAATTATCAGCATAATCCAATTTTGCTGCAAGTTTCATTTCCACTACTTTTCTCCACACTTTTAATGAATTTTGCATCAGGTACCGTTCATAGAATTCATCGGCAATTTCCTCTTGTTTTTTCCTTAAGAGTAATAATTTTTTAAAAGCAAACAGGCCATGCCTCAATCTTCGAGTCCTAAAAAAATGGTCAGCTTTTCTTTCCAAAGCAATATACTTTTCTCTTTCTTTCCTGGCTTCTTCCCTCATTTCCCTTTCTTTTCTCCTCATGTCTAGAGCTTCCTCCTGTTTCCTTCTCAATGTTTCTTCCTCTTCTTGCCGCCTTTTTTCTTCTAACTCCTTGATTCTTTTTTTTCTTTCTTCTTCAAACTGTTTTCGACGTTCCTGAGCAAGAAGCTTTTTCTGTTTCTGTTCCAATGCTCGCTGCTCCATGCGCAAAACAAAATCATTTCCAGGAGAAAGATCAACTAAAGATAGAGATGACTTTAGAGACTTTGCCTGTGCCTTTACTTTCACATTACAGTTTTGCATTACTTCATTTAAGGCTCTATGAGTTTGTATTTGTGATTTTTCACTCTCCATCCGTAGTTGAGACAGTTTGAGATCATCAATTTGTCTCTTCTGCTCATCAAGCTTTGCTTTTTGGTGGGTGATAAGTTCTTTGTGTGCTTTCAGTCGTTGCTCATATGAGCCACTGATTGCTCTCCTAAACTTATGATCTGATGGCTCTAATTTATCCTCTCTAACGTCATTCACTGATTTAGAAAATCGAGAACTGCTGGTACACTCTCTCATGCTAGCAATTTCTGGTTTGGTATCCTTGTGCTTCTGAAGAGCTTGAAGAACTTGCATTATTTTCTCTTCTCTAGTGATTGTATTAACATTGGTGCGTTTTAAATCCCCTTCTTTTGTTTTATCTGGTTTGGTTTTGCAGCCAGTGTCTTCAAATTTTGTACTGTGTGGAGCACAAACTTTTGTCATCCACTTAGCATACATCTTACTCATACTTTCCAGCTTGTTGTGATCTCCTTTTTTGGGTCCAGTTGCTGGAGGCAAAGTATTGCACAAAGGCTTCTCGATTTCTGAATTAGTTAGTTTGGCTGCATTTACAATTTCCCTTGACTTTGAAGAGGTGTTCCATTCATTAATACTTACTTCAGTTTTAAGAATGTTAGGAGCAGCTTCTGACACATCACTCAAGCCTATGTCTTCAACCCAATCCCCAATCTGAACAAGACCACTATCTTGAGAGTTCATAGATTTTTGTGTTGTACTGGTTATTGAATGGGAATGCCCATTCTGTTCACAGTCATTGATAGGACTAGAATGTCTGATGAGAACTGTTCCTTCTTCCATGACTCGTTTTCTTTCAGATTCAATATACTTCTCATGAATTCTCTCAAAAACTGTGTTTTGATGTTCGTTAGAAATTCTGCAAGGTAAAGAGTATACAGGGTGCTGAACAATTTCATGTTCTTCCATTTTGTTCCCTGATATTGAAAGTTTTGGTTTACTTTGAAAAGCTCTAAAATCCCGCTGACCATAATTATCTGTTGCATTTATTGCATTTGAATTTGGGTTTCTCTTCTTAGACTTTCCTTGATCAATGGATAGTTTATCTTCTGTGAGATCAACTTTTAAAGGGCTGTAATCCTTGTGATGGTAAGTAGTATTAGGACCCGGATGCAATTTTCCAAGTCTCTTTTTGGTACTGATGGGGAAAGCAATTCTTTCTAATCTCTGATTCATTTTTCTCAGGCTTTTAATATGGCTTTGGAATCTATCCACTTCCTCATCAACCATTTTGTTTTGCAAACTCAAATTTTTGGTAACCTTTTCCTCTCTTTTCAGATTTCTGCAATTGTTTTAGACATGTTAAGAAACAGAGACTTACAAGGGTGAGCTAAAAGGTAGAAACGTAATCAAGTCTCACCTTTTGGCTTCAAGCATTATGGCAGAATGAGGCTGCTGAAGTTTGGAGGGGTACACTGATGAGCGAATATTCTGAAAGAAATGTAAAATGTACTGACTGCATAGTCAAACAACATCAAAAATTATAAACAGTGAGGCACCTTATCATGACGAAGATCACTTAAAAGACCTGGATCTAATGTTCCAGGATAATCCAATTCTTTTAAAACAACCATGTTACGATGTCCAATGATGTTTGTTTCCAAAATATCCTCGACTAGAGCACTGCTCCAGTTTGATGCTGAACCAGAACATTCTGCTGTCTGAGAATGTTCTCTTTTTTCCCATGCCCATCTTCCTCTTTCTGCACCCTTACTACCCATTCGGTTATGTTGACGTTTAGGTTGCCGCTATCATCTTTCTCAGATATTCAAATCCATACTCCAAAAGTGAACGAAAACTGAAGCAGAGGTTCGAATTCATCAAATACAAGACAACCGAAAAACAATACGAAGGTTATGTTTTTCTGGTTTCTGTTTGTGTATAAACAATCTCGTTGCTAGGGGTTGCTAAGGAGTGTTTAGCCCCCCCCCCCTTTTTTTTTGCTGCAGTTGTCGTCTGCTACATTTGTCAGGTCAACCAGTGGCCTGGTTTTAGGAAGTTTCATGTTTTCTAACAGATTTGAGTCACTGAGACGGTGTTCTGCTCTGAACAATGCCTGTTTGCGTCAAGCAGCATAGTTGTCCATCGTGTCACAAGAGATTTTCCGATCGAGATCGTCTAACAAACCACCTGGGCAGAGCCCATGGCTCTGAAGGGTCCAGGACAATAAAATGCAACATTTGCTTAAAATGTTTTCTCAATACTTCTGCACTTGGTAGTCATCTTAGGACACATATTGGTAAGTTAACTCGTTTTCGAAAATGAGAAGATAATAATAACAAAATGTATAATTAAACGTGGATTGTAATTATTTTCAGATCAGGAATATCCATGGGAATGTTCGATTTGTCAAGAAACTTGTTGCAGTCGGGAAAATTTGAAAGGCCATATAGCTAGTCATTCTAGCAACGGGTTATTCCCATGCCCCTCATGCGAAAAGGTGCCAAAAATTGCCGTTATCAGTGTCAGCACAATAAATATCTGCATAAGGAATGAAAAGTAAAAATTTTACTCATGATGGTTTTTTCATGTTTTCAGATATTTTCTGGGTATTTCAGCCTTAAAAAGCACATAGTTAAAACACATAGGGGCTCCGGTATGCAGTGTTCACTGTGCGATTGTTTTTGCCGTGATGCTCAGATTTACAAAGAGCATATGCTTCGGTAAATTCAAAGCAAAATTATTTATGTGACTCATATTTTATTGGATGAATTGTTATTTGTTTGCTAAATATTTGATCCTTGTTGCAGTCATTCTGAGCAGAAGCAGCATCCCTGTGATCACTGTGAGAAACAGTTCACAAGAAGTGACAAACTAAAGGAACACATTAGACGAATGCATGAATGTGAATCTTCAGAGGAGGCTTGTAAGACACTTGAAGAAAAAATATTGGTAATTTAAAGCTAAAAATTTTCTTTACTTTGTGTGTTATTTTGAATTCTTAATGGAACATTTTGTATGACTCTAGCAAAGAAAAATATCCTCCGAAACAAGGATTGAAAGGAAGCTGCAAGACTTAAATGCGCAATACTTGTTCAAGTGTCAGCCCTGCCTTTTGGGTTTTAAGCGAAGAGGCATGCTTGTAAATCATATAGCTAAGCACCACCCTAATATTACACCTGATGAGGTTCCTGAACTTAATCTTCCAATTATGACAACTACTCGAGATTTTTTTTGTCACCTGTGTGAGAAGGTATTTCTTCAACAGCTTATTTGCATGTTTTAGAAAACTTTTATCAAGGCATCATAATTATACTTTTTGACTGTTTTCAGGTTTACAAAAGCAATGCTAAAAGAAAAGCTCACATCATGAAGTTTCACTCTGAAGCAGTAAAGGTAATATTTTAAAGTCTTAATATTTTTATGCACTGTTACTGTTATTTTCATTGGCCCTTTTCAAATTAATCTTTATCTAGGAGGGTAAGCAATTGACAAACACCTCCTATGGGCAACCTGCTGGAACAATTGCTAAGAAACCAGAACGTTGCCCATGGTGTCACAAGCAGTATGCTGCAAATGCGAAACTGTTGCAACATATACGGAGCCAACATCCGGACAAGTCAAATGAAGAGGTTTGTGAGAACTATAGCTTGCTGCTGTTTTTCCATTCATGCCGTGAAACACACATATTCATTAAATGATTGTAACTTTCCCATCCCAGCTTCGTAAGAAAGGGAAATCTCACATGAACAACATTCAAAATAGCTCTGAGGACTGCAAATTTTTTGATGTTGAAAAGGCAAATACAGCAGAGGAGTACAGCACTGATATTGATTCATGTGGAACAGAAATGTTTGTCATTGAACCAGCAAGTATTGGAATGAGTGTCGAAATTGGGGCAGAAATAAAAGGAGTACAGATTGTTGAGCCAATTACAATGAATGATGATGACGAGATCACTTTGGCTGGTACCGTATCTAGTAAATTAAGTATTATTTTTGTTTACTGTTTCTGCTTATCATATTGTCATTAGTAAAAAAAATTGTTCTCTTCTCAGTGTGCCTAATGATGTCACACCCTAATTTTCCACAACTTGAGGCATCTGCAGATGATATTTCATCAAAAGATGATCTATTAAATATTATTGATTTGAACCAAACTGATGCATGTGTTGGAGAAATAAAATTGCTTGAAGACACATCTCTGACTAAAGAAGATGTGGATCTTCTCATGGCAGGTAATTGACTATGAATAATCTTGTATTGTAATAGTTTTATTATTTACCCTTCATTCATGTCCCTCCAATCCCTTCTTTCAGAGTGGTTGGTCGATTTACAATCTGGCCCACCCTACGGTGAAAGTACTCTTCAATTGATTCAGAAAGAGCATGAACAAAAAGACACTATCAGTTTTGAGGTAAGAAAAGTGTCCTTCATTTATGCTACATAATGTGACATTGGATAAATCCTTAGGTGCTAATGTATTTCTTGTATCCCAGAGCATTGAAGATATGCAAGATTTGCCGGATGCATCAGATCTTGTGATCAAACCATATGCTGGATCTGATCATCACCTATATGACATAAACTCTTCATTGACAGCTTCTCAGCAGACACCACCACCAGAAATTGTTTATTGTCCTTATCCACCACATTGAGGTAATTTATGAAAAACACAATTGGTTTGAATTTGAAATTGTTCTCTTTTACCTGGAAAGGGTAATAGAGTTCTCTTGGCAGTTTGCTCTGCCTTGAGTTGGAGTTTTGTTGCATGGGTTGGAACCTAGCAACACTGAGCTTAGCAAGCTCTAAATTTTCTTGTTGATCTCATTTCTCCATGTGGGAAGATTTGAGAAAAAGATGCTAGTCATCTTCTATTGGTAATTGAATTAACTTACTACATATTTCATAATTGTGAGGTTGATACTGTAGTTGTCATTGATTGTTTAAAAAAGGGGATGATAATTTACCATTTGTGCACATTGCAAGGTGATACAATTGGTAAATGATTGATCGATAATTATTTTTAAATGTCATATCGAACTGGTCAGGTGTATCCAGTAGACATTTGATTGGAAAACTCACTAGAGTTTGCGTTTTATCAGGTATACTTACTTGCTATGAAGTTCACTCTGAAAAACACAACTTTATGAGATATTAGGAGTTAAAATTTGGGTCAGGTTCTCTGACTGTTAATTGTTGGTTTTAAATTGAACAATATTTTATTGCGAGAGAATTGAGTCAATCGAAAGATTTGGTGTTGAAAAGTTTTCGGTGCGGTGATATATATTTGATTTTCTTGGGAGAGTTATAGTAGCCTGTTGATACAAGAATTTCTCCTGTAAAACTCTTGCTAACTGGAGATTGAATGCAATGCATGCCTCATTGTGCATTATTGTAGTTAATATTTGTCAAACAAAGCTGGTCTTTGCGGACAAATGTGTAAAGAAACAAGTACGCAAAGTACTAATTTTTGTAGTTTTCCTCTTTAGAGTTCACTTTTAAATTTCATACTCTTAATTCACTTCTTAGTTAAAGAATTCTTTCTTTAAAACAATTATGTCTCATGGTTTGAAGTTAAAGATAATCGATAGAGGTGTAAGAAGTGAGAATTGTTACATTTAAACAAATGATGCTTAGTGAGATGCAGTTCTTAAGATAAGTATTGCTGTGAAAACTAAGCTTTTCCACAGTTTTTTCTCTAGACGTACGACAATGTGTACTGATAGATTTCTTGAAATCCAACATTGCTTCTACCTGACTTTAAGATAGAGAAATATCTTCTTTGTTGTAGCAATTACCCTAAGCTTTCTAAAATTGGATGTCAGAGAGATTCTCTTATTTCAAGACATTCTCAGTTCTTGTAGTTAAGAAAGGGTCAACCCCGAATACATACTAAATTCAAGTAGTAAATTTTTTGTGTGTTGTAGGAGAGAAGGTTTTATCCATTTGGGATTTAAAGCTAAAAGTTATGTAATGTGCTATATGGTATGATGTAACGAATAGCATACAAAATGATGTGTTCACGTTTCAATAAAAATAATTGCTTCTTGAAAGTTTGAAGACAACATTCATTTATGTAAATTTTATGTCTTATGTCCATCAATAAGAAAATACAAATATGAAATAATCTACAATCTGCTCGTATGCTGAGAAGAAAAACAATCAGTAACATTAAATATTATTTTTCGGTAAAAATTAATGAAAGACACAGGTGGCATCATGTGCAAGAGAGATCAAATTCAACAATGGCAGAAGGTTATTTCTTCACATTTCCTACAATTCATTTCATTCCACTATCACTATCTTACATAGAATATAATTACTAGACACTCAAAGTGGCTAAACAGCCCAAGGAATGAAAAGTGAAATCAACAGGATATCACTTGGCATGCTTTCTTAGGGAAACATAAGTAAAGCCAAATTGCTAAGGCACTTTAAGAGTTTATAAAAATGGCCTCTCTGTCAGCTTTATGAAGGGGAAAACACTGCTTCCTTACACAATAACAAAATATGTCTTTTCTTTGAAAGGATGAACTTAAAAAGTCAGTGCAATCAGATACAAAAATAAAACTCAATGAGAGTATGATAATGAACACTTAGACCCTCAATGATTTTAGAGCAACAAAAGCCATAAGGAAATAAGATGAGTGTTCCTATTTCAAATTTGAAATGTTGACTTGAGATCAAGAACTTCAGAGATGTTCCACAAATCAGTGCTTTCAGAATTTGACAACACAATTGTAAGCAGTGACAGCCATTGAGAAACTGAGTAGGTAAAGCACCTACAAGTGGAGACGTAGATAACAATTTAAAGATTAACAGATCAGGGCATTTTATTAAAAACCTCATCCATACCACTAACTCAAAAACCCTCTAATTATTCCAATCTCTTGGAAAGGAAAAATAATGGCAGTTCTCATAATTTCAATCAACATATCAGTGATGTGGTCCACAACTTTTGATTAGTAGCAAATCGATCCTTGATAATATAGTGAATGAACCAAGGAGAACACTTATCTTTTGAAAAGATTGAGCAAATATTTTGTCCACATGCCAAGGCTGAATGCAGTATTCATAGTTTGAGACAAATTTCATTGTATGATCTTTGAAAACAGGGGCTTAACTAGATATTGAGATCGGTAATATTTACTGTGGGACAGATTAGAGATGACTGAAAATACCCACAGTCATTTGAGATCTTACTAAAATAGAAGCTTTACACTTGATTTTTGAATGAAATTTCACACATAAATTCTCATTCTATAAAAGAAACAAAAACAAAACACTCAATATATACTTCATCAATATCTTAAACATTTCACTTAAATGCAATCACTTGAAGACTTAATGCTCCTTGAGGAAATACCTACAACATGCAAACAGATTACATGTACCTACATACCCATAAAGTTATAATGCAATTCAAATTGTAATACATCAAATAATTACAGTAACAAGGATAAGAGTTACTTGTATGAAAATACAAGAAACTGATGACAAGCAAAAGCTGGAACACAAAACCTGCCATTGTCAATGGAAGGTTGAAACTTTTAACAACTAACATGCCTTATACATCTTCTTAACAAGTTGCTCTATTTTTTTTATGTAGAGCACTATAATAAAGGAATTTATACTTTACATATCACATTAAGATCATTTTTTAATTACTCATGAACAGCTTTCCTCTATCAGAGATATATTTAAAATAGCAACAAAAATAGAACAGAGAGACAAATATTAACATTTCACTAAAATGTAGAACCCTGGAAACCAATCACTATATTAATTTAATTAATATACTGGGCACAACTGAACAACATGGAACCCTAGGGAAAGAGGGTCACAAACGTCACAAAGGATATTTGCACCTTAAAGGTGATAAGGTTCCCAAACTATTTCTAACTTACCAATGTGGCAATGAAAAATAAATGCCAGAATTGGAATGACAACCTACAGTCACTGGTTTTAGCTCAAATTTCATGAAAGTAGAACTAAATTAAACAGCTGAAACATCCTCCAGCAGGGCAGTGTTAGAGTCAACTATCTTCAAGCTAAAATCTGTTGAACAAGACTTGACCACAAATGAAATGTGAAATTCGGGTCACAATGGCTTTTAAACAGCTATGTATTCTGGACTAATATGTATTTTTGGAAATCCTTTAAAGAAACCAACCAATATGGCACACTTTTGATTAAGTTGAGGTGCTGGAGTGTGTAATAAGCCCAGCACTAAAAGCCAGAACAAAATGTCCCATTCATTTAAAAAAAAAATCACAGCTGTAGCTGAATAACCTAAGTGAGATCTCAATTGAGCACCACCCTTAATGCATACTGTACATAACAAATAAAAACAAAACGAGTTAAAGAAATTATTTTTATCTCACTGATACACATCTAACTGAAGCTTCTTGTGTGCATGCATGTCCACCTAAAGATAGCGAGTCAATGAGGCCCACAAAACTCCTCTTCATATTTCAGAAACAAAATTAGAGTCACTACAATTTCTAATCTCTTGTCATGTGTTTGGTAACAGCCTTCTAGGCAGATTATCAACACTTCTTAAAACATCAATTACTTTAAAATAAGGTAATCTTCAAATCCATCCAGAGATTTCATTTGCAAAAAGAGTATGGTCAAGGTCAATGCTTTTAACTGATACCATAAGCAAGAGTAATGATCAACAAGCAATGTACCCACAATATCACTTATAGTGTAAGTGAATAAACGAAACATTAACTCATAGCAAACAGCTGTCACATCAAATAGAATAAACAAATGGACAGCAGAAAAGTTGTTTGGATAAAAGACAAATCCAACCTTTCTGATACGCCCCCAGAAATGAGTATTCTCTTCCACAATGATAAAATTACGTAAACTTTTCAGAAGATGGGTAGACCGAACCTCAAGCAACTAATTTAAGAATTATAGTTAATAAAAACTGTAGTCTATGATTAAATATATTTGATAAACAATATCAGATTAAAAAAAAATAATTTATCACTAGATACTGGTAGATTAGATAGCAAGAGTCTACCAAATCATAACAACGACAAGATAAGTAGGTTATGGCCGTTGCAGCTGATTCTATTGAAAGTTGGCCACTATTACTTTCACACAGTCAATAGAAAAACAGTGCACCCAGAAGTACCATCTCTTTCATGTAGAAAACACTGAAGTATTTTAAAAGTGGATGTCACTTCAATTGTACTCTCAAATTGAGAAGTATTAAGCTATATGCGGCCAACAGTAAATGCTCGAGTAAAACATTAGGCCAACAAATATCACAAATTAAGAACGAATTTGGTTATTTTACCTATCATGTGTGACCAAAGGAATGCAACAATACAGTCTCACTCCTATCAAGAATTTTAAGTGCAGCAGATCATGAAACCGGTATCATGCGTACGAATTAATGAGAAAAAAAGAAGTAAAATTAGATAAAATCTACAGTATTAAAATTCAGAGCCCCATAAAATTTGCAGCCCATAGCATAGGCCAATTTGTCACAAAAGATTTAAAAGGTTCATTCAGACTGTTCGATTTTCAAAGCACCTACCGTGGTTTGGGTGCGCTTACGTTTCCAGCACTCAGGGTGAAGTCTCTTGCGCTCATGAGAGAGTGCTTTAGCCTCCGATATGAATACTTCTTTCTCATCAGCTGGCAACTGTCGCCATGCCTCACCAAGTATCACACTTACAAACCTGAAGACACAAGGCATTTGAGTGAGAATTATGTTACACTTTGGTTAATATAAGTGATAGAGCAAAAAAATATAATAAAGTAACTACCTGTTGTCTTTTCCAGGGTGCATACGTATGAGTTTTAAGCGGTGCTGTTTCGCAAACAACATGAACGCATTCATAGGTCTTTTGGGCCTGTCTGGATCTAAAGGAACTTTAGCTGCTTTAGCAGTAGTTTTATCAGAGGTTTGCTGCGAGCCTTTCTGTTTGGAGGTTTTATTTCCTTTAGAAGACTGCGAAGATATATGCTGATTTGGTTGTTGCTGTGAAAGCTGATGAGGGTGTTGAGTTTTCATGGTTGGTGTGTTTGGTGGAGAGAGTACTAGAGAACTTGGAGTAGGAAGAGAAGTACCCAATTCTTCAGGTGAAAAGCTGAATCTAAAGGGAGCAAAAGAGAAAAAAAAAACGTTAAAAAGTTGTCAATTAATTAAAGTGCCCAAACTCTGTAAATGAATATTTAGCTCACCTCTTAAACTTTTCACAAATACCGGGAGAAGAAACTGATGGCATCTTTGGCGGCACTGGGCAGCTGTCACCACATTCTAAATGTTGACACTGAATTCCATACTGACGAAGAACTATATCAGGGCTTACTGCACACCAGCCTATAAACAATTTCTCTTATTAGACAATTTTGAAATCCTTCCAAATTAAAGATGAAATTTAAGACGTAGATAGATGGATGTTTAGTTGGGAAACATCTCTACTACTTTTAACGTCTATTTACCTCTTTCTACAACCAAAAAAGTGTGGTAGGAATAACAAGTAGCAACAAGCTTAAAGTCTCCAGCTACAGATGGGCTTCCTGAAGAAAATGTTATTTCAACAACACTAATGGGCGTTTCTAAAGGATTGATTCGTTGAACCCGAAGTTGTCCAAGCCTTTCTGGTGTTAAAAACTGAAGTTCACTACACTGATGTACTTCTTCAGCTCGCAAGGTAATTTCTGAGCTATTGATTGAAAATTTGAGTAGAGTACCTGAAAAGAAATAAAATAGGCACTCAAGCAACCAGTGTTGTAGTAAATTATAAGTGCATGAAATAAAATAAAACTCACCCATTTGAAAACAATGCCACACTGGATATGGCCATGGAAGTCGCCAAGGGTCACTTTCATACATTAAGCTGGACACAGATGAAAGAGGCAGTGAGTGAGCATGCCGTAGGTCTTCTTGACTACTACCCAAAGATGACGGGGCAGGACTTAGAAGAGCAGAAGGAGACCCATTAAACCAGTGTGGTGACATCATTGAAGGAGAAGGTAAAAAAGGGCTCCATGGAGAAATATGATGGCGAGCAAATTGCTGATGGGCCGAGCTGAGATGTTGAGGCTCCATTAAACCACTGGAGTGTGGAGAAGTGGGATGTGATGAACTCGTGATAAGAGGAGAAGCAACCTCAGAGAGTGTTGACGAGACAACTGTAGAGTCCTGTGGACTTTCTGTTTCTCTCTCTGGGAAAGCTTTGGGTGTTGGAGGAAGAGATAAGTTCAAAGGTGGGCTTGAAGTTTCTGGCGAATGTTCTTGTTTAAAAAGTGAAGGGAAGAATTGAAGAGCTGTAGCTGGTGCAGACAAGGGACCATTGTCTACAGCATCAGGAACACTGTGCGCTCTAAAATAAATCGAGATTAGTTAGAATGATACATAAATAGGAAAATTACAAGAAAAGGGATCCAAGTTATTTTTACCTTTTTCTAAAGGGTAGGTTCTTCTGCATTAGAGGACTTTGAGGACCCGTCGCTAGTATTGCAAACTCTTTAAGAGTTGTTGAAATACCCACAGGCAGTGGCTCCGACTGCTCATTGTTTCTCAGATTTAATGGAGGAGGGATTAGCTTCGGTCGTTTCATATTTGTCTTAACTGACAAATCCTTTGGTTTGAAGTCTAGATCAGTAGGTGAAATGTTGCAGTTATCCTCTTCTCCTGAGTTCACACTGCTATCTGTTGACTGGTTACAACTGAGATCCATCATTGTTGCAGAACTTGCCATAATTATCATAGGTAGAACAGATATTTCTGAAAATAGAAAAAAAGAATTAACTTAGTAAGTACGAGCCAAAAAATGTCTGAACAGATACAAATTCCTAAAAGCAGTGGAGACTTGGCACAGTACTGGTGAAAAATGGTCATGTTACAAATAAGAAAAGGTACCAATATAAAATACAACACGACTAAAACGGGTAAGGCTAAATGATGACTCATATTCCTGACCACTCGAGCAACGAGAACAAAGCAAGAATAAGTGAGGTTATGTCCCCATGCACGTTCTCTCGCGCAAGGAGATGTTACATTAACTTCTGAGAGAATTTCATTCGTACGAGTTTTGAACCACGATAAGGAGGGATGCTTAAAAAGATTTTTCCCACATGCAGTTTGGCTGAACAACATCCTCAACATGGACCAAAATGCCAAACCTCAACAGGTTGTTGTTGTTTACCCCGTTTGCAAACAAACGCACACCGTGCTTTCAATGAGACCCCCACGTAGGCTTTCCGACCCAACGTCCGAAATAGCTAGACAAATATCGACCAATCCCGCCAGGATATTTTGAAAAGTGATTATCAAAAACAAGCAGCATCCGTTACTCACCCGAAATGAAAATACTTTCAAGGCCCACCCATCTCTAACTACCTGCTTGCTTATCACCCCTGCTCCGTGCCAACACCACTCGCATCCAGTAGCCCGAGCAAGGTGTGTACTCACCATTATAGGCACGCGGCCATCCACGTCTGCAAAACAACTCCTCGACGAACCCAACTTCTCAGATCATGGTTGAAGATTTGGTCCAGGCTCGACCAATTCCACGATTCAATGAGTCCCAAATGAGCAGCGATGTGATTGCTGAAGTCGTCTTGAAGCTCTTAGCTCTTTGTTTACCATGATAACAGGAGTACCAACCGTTCAACAGGTGTCGCAAAAGTAGCTTCTGGGTTATTTATTACAGATATATGTTGTTGTGGCTCATAAAGGGGTTAAGGAAAAAAATCTAGAAATATTTACCCGTTGTGGGGAAATGCAGTAAGGTTTTTACTAACGTAACGAGGAAATAAAAACTTGTCGGTGCAGGGCTGCAGGTGAAGAGAAAAAGAAAAGAAGGTGCGGCCAGCGCAGTATGATGCACCTGATCCGTTTCCCCTTCCTCTCCGCGCTCCCCGCTCACCCGTCCTCGCCGCTGCGCCTCCTCTCCCCTTCTCCCCTCCCCCCCTCTTTCTAATCCTCGCCTCACTCTCTTCTCCGCTCCTCGATGTCGATGGGATTGTTAGCCTTGAGCCGAACGAAACGCAGCTTTGTGCTCGGCGCGCAGTTCGCTACGATGGCAAACGACACGGCCTTTAGTATCTCTTATCACAGTATGCCCCATTCCATTAAAACACACGCTTCATTACGTGCAAAATATATTTTTGTTCGCGAAAAAATACCGCCTTACCCAAATAGAGAGAGACTTGAATGATTTCTGAATTTGTTTTGAAATTCTAGTTTTATTGGTCCTATTCTGAATTCTTAGTTCAGCTCAGCCTCGGGCAGAGCCGCTGCGACCGCAGCAGCCACACAGCTCATCAGCCCCGCTGGGCCCGTGGGGACCCCCGGCCCCCGGCGCACTCACACCTCACTATCGCAGCTCAGAGTTGGCGACTCCCTCTGCCCCATCCCGCCACGCCACGCCACGCCCTGCACCACAGCCCCCCGTGCCATTTACTCCGGGGATGAGATTTCGTGGCCTTGATGAGTGGTTCCTCATCCACTTACTCGAGCGCACAGAGGGCTGGGGTGAGGTGCTGTGCTGGGCTGAGGGGGGGGGGAGTCGGGGGAGCCGGACTTCTTGGGATCGAGAAGGAAGAGGATCAGCACGGAGGGACAGGTCTCGGAGGACAGGTACGGGGAGGGCAGCGGGTGGAGAGAAGGGACGTGGTGTTGGCGACATTATATTGTCGAAATGGCGGCGGGGACCGCCAGAAAATTAGCTTCTAACTAAGAGAATTAGCTCGCGAGTGATGCTATATTTCCGCCACAAAATTGAACTATGATCGCGTTGGCGGGGAGCGAGGCGAGGGCTTGCGGGGTACATCATCCCCTGCGACTCACCGTCAGAGGGGATGATGAAGAAGGGAAAGGAGAGGGTGAGGGGTGCTCTCCCCCCCCCCCTCTCCTTCCGGGGGAGGGCGGGATGGAGCGGGAGAGCCGCGCTGCTGGTGTGACTCAGGGGGTGGGCAGGCCTCGCTAGGGGTGGCTCTCTATATAAACAGCGCCGAGAGCAAGGCAAACACACAGTCCGCTGGCAACAAGTGCTGCTCGCCCCAGCCTTCTCCGCTCTCCCCCACGCAGCAGCCCGCCGCCCCAAGTGACCATCAGGTAAGAGCGGTACATACAACATACAAGCCTCTGCCCCCGCGCAGTGCGCGCTGCCGCAGCACGCTCGCTCGCCCACGCTGGCGCTGGCCGCCCCGCCGGGGTCGGGAGGTGAAGGGACACGGAGGCCGTTGATAGAGCAGTGACGACATGTTTACACCGACATGCGACGTCACGATGGGCGCCGGCAATATCTGGCATCAAGCTGGTCACGTTATCGTCTCAATGTGACCACGATAATAACGTGCATCCAACGTGACATTTCCGTTTTTCACAAGCGCCGTGCTATCTGCTCTGCGCCGCGCCAAATGCTAGTTTCTAAATAAGCCCCAAACTTTAGTGGGCGTTTTTGCTGAGTACCCCCGTTTCTTTGATCTACGCTGACGTGACTTTACAAGTCAACTCTCGAGAGCACACAGAGGGTCCCTTGTGTTTAGATAAACGTTACTGGTTTCCGTTCTAGTATTGATGAAGTTTGACGATGATTCACGTTCCGGTACTGATAAAGATTGCCGACTAAACTTGTGTTCAAACATTGTGACGTCTTATTTTCAACGACTGTGTCTAGTGTCACAATGGTTGGAATACTATGCCATAATCGTAACGTTGTAACGTGACAAAGGTACGCCTACCTACCATGCACTTAGCCTGTGAGGGCAGAGCCATGCAATGGTATGTCGCTTGCTAACGAATGTGACATGATATACCAAGCTATGTGACACATTTGAAATTATATTGAATGTGACGTCGCAGTGCTTGAATAGCAATGCACAGTAACGTTCCAACGAACTACCGGGTGTTGTCCAGGCTAAGACATATGGCAGTGTTCGTTGGGTTGCCTATGCATTGGCTGCAGGGGCTGCAGGTGCGGGGCGCTGGTGGGGTAGTCCCATCCCGCGCCTGCAGCAAGTGCATAGGCAACCCAACCTACTGTCATGTCTTAGCCTGGATACCAGGTACTTGTGATGTGATGTCACTTTTGCCGAAACATTCACACATTTACACGCAGGACCATAGTTTTTTTTTTTCAACTGGTTCCCATATCATTTTCCAGACGACCAAAGCCTCGTTTTGAACGCGGATTTTCCTCTCGCCCACAGAATGCAGGTCCGCGCCCTCGTCGCCGTCTTCCTCCTGACCGCCCTGGTGCTGCTGGCCGGCCCCGCCGCCGCCACCTTCCGCAAGCCGCCCTTCAACGGCAGCATCTTCGGCAAGCGCGGCACGCCGGACCAGGTCCGGTCCATGGCGGGTGAGTGTCGCATGCAGGGGCGCGGGGCTGGGGGGAGGAGGGAGGGAGGGAGGGAACAGGGCGGGGGTGGCCGTCCGGAGGGGGAGAGGGACGGGGGTACGGGCCAGTGACGGGGCTGCAGTTATGTTGACGCCGTTCCTTTGTTCCAGAAGTGGATACCACGGCCAACACGATGAACGCACTGTGCGCGGTCGCCACGGAGGCCTGCAACGCCTGGTACTCGGCCGATAACTAAATTCCAGGTCAGTGCAACGACTTTCCTCTTCCCTGTTTGTTCCTTGTTTCGGTCCTCCGCCCTCGCTAAGGGGGCTGGAAGAGACCCGACCGTCGACCGTACGCCCGAGGGTTTACGTCACAATGAAAAAGGCTTGACAATAAGACTCATGACACATGCCAAGGAAACGTAAATTTCGACAAGTTTAAAAAACCGGTGTTCGCCTGGCATGCGCGTGATGTATGTTGTACCCTTCCGTTGCACCGCGACGGCGCGGCAAATCGGGAACGGGGTCAGGGCTCAAGGCTCGCGGGCTGAGGTCGCCCCGCTGCCCTTGCAGGAAGCTCGCTGCACGACTGGTCCAGGCGAGCTGGGGGCTTCCGTGTCGCCGAGGAGGGGCTGCGCCAGTAAGAGGCGTCGTCGCATTCCCCTTGCGAATCAATTTTGTTATGGCCAATTTGGCACCCGCAAAAAGAAACGAACCCCCTGGTGGAGTCATTTAATCGTAGCGTCTAGAGAAATATGTTGATTCCTTCAAAAAGTGCAGGTTACAACTGGGTTGGATAGTACGCGCACGCGTCGTCGACCTCCATTGAATTTTGAGGCGGACAGCGCACAGCGCACAGGCGCGGTTTTAGGTGGCCCGGGGGCCGGG